CTTTACATGATTTTTATTGACTGACGGCTCTGTTCACTAAAGCAATGTGTGGCTGTCATATAATTTTGTTACAACATTTCTGAATTGGTGGATACATAGAAATAACAATAACAAGGACAAATACAAATATAGAAATCTCTCATGTGAAATCTCCTTGAGTTTTTTCCTCTCACTGTACTGATCTTTATTTGTTAATAAATAATCAGGTCCTCAGATGACAGGAGGCTCAACAAGTCAACAAGGACAGGTTAAATAATAAATGAGGCTGTAAAAAATCAGAAATTTGTTTTAGTGATAAAAATCTAATTGCAGAATCTTTTTGTCCTGTTTTCTCATGTTTATCCTGTTGTTCTTTAAAATGGACAGGATACATTATGGAATGAAGCAAAGAAAACTTCTGAGAACAGGAAGTGCTCTCTTTAAAAAATGTACTCTTCACATCCCATGGCTGCTCACTCAAATATGTGAACGCTTGCTACCAAACAAATTTCCTGTAGATGAACAGTTAAGACAACCTTGAATTTTGAACCTTGACGTGTGTGTGATCATTTGATTCAGAAAGAGTCATAAATAATCATTTAGGAAATGAATATAATTACCACATTTGTCTTGGCCCTATGCCTATCAGTGACCATGTAATCTACTTTCCCTTTCATCATGGGAAGCCAAGTAGACGCACCCTTATGGAAAACACTGTCCTCAGCTGGAGAAAGGTAAAAAAATAAAATAAAAAAAATTATACAGCGTAATCAGGGACCATATAATGACCAAAATGTGCCTGAGAGCAGCACCACTTTGAGATTATTGACCTGGATTTCACAACTTATCTTTGTGCCTGTGCGTGTGTGTATGATTGTGTGTGTATAATCACTTCACCCCACCAATCACTCTGCTGAGTCAAGTGATCACTGTTATCTCACTGCTATCTCTCCTCTCTTCCTCAAAGCCTTTGTGTGAAACTCTGTTTCAGCCTCTCACTAAAGACTCAGGTGGGTTTTTTTGCCCCCTGAAACCTCTTGTTTCTACTGGAATTAGAGTTTGTTTTTAGGTTTTATTATTAAGTATATTTGCCTCAAATTTGTTTTTAAAGTAAAGTACATTTTTCACATACACACACACACACACACACACACACACA